AGATGCCATTGAGAAAAATCAAAAGGGCTATCACTCTAAAACATGCTTAGTGTTCGGCAAATATGTTGAACGAATGAAATGAGTGAATGAATGAAAGAAATCTAGCAAGTTCAGCAGAAGTCAACAAGAGAGGAGATTGAGAACTACACTGCCCACAGAGTAACCACTTGGCACAATGAGGCTATGGGGCACTTAAAATGTGGCTAGTCCCACCTCAAGTGTGCTATGAGTTTAAGATGCACACTGGATTTTGAAGGCCTAATACAAAAAAAGAATGTTTCAGGTTCTTTTTTAACTTTTTCCAGTGTTGCTACTAGAACATTTAAAGTCACGTATGTGGCTTGCACGTGTGGCTCACGTCATATTTCTATTGCGCAGCACGGATTTAGAATATAGAGGTGTAACAGTGATATTGGAACATGGAAGAAACCTCCTTTTAATACAGGGAAGAATTGATGAGACATCAAGAAGATAAAAGGTGTGAAAGCATAGAACTGGATGTCTAGATTTCCAAGATTTATAGTAGTATGAATATATTCAGCCAATATTGCTTCACCACCAACTTCATATTTGTTCCCGGCTTTCTTGAGATATATTTGAAAAATAACATTGTGTAAGTCTAGGATATAAAATATAATGATTGGATACACATATGTACTGTGAAATGATTAACACAATAGGATTAGTTAAGACCTCCATCACCTCACATAATTATTCTTTTTTTCTTTTTGGTGGTGAGAACATTTAAGACCCACTGTCTTAGCAACTTTCAAGTATGTAATATAGAATTGTTAACTATAGTCACCATCTTGTACATAGATCTCCAGAACTTATTCATCTTACAACTGAGGGTTTGTACATTTTGACCAACATCTCCCCCATTTCCCTCAAACCCTAGCCCCCTCGCAACCATCATTCTACTCTCTGTTTCTAGTAGTTCAGCTTTTTTAGATTCCACATTTAAGTGAGATCATACAGCATTTTTCCTTCTCTATCTGACTTACTTCACTTAGCATCATGCCCTCAAGTTCCATCCATTTTGCTGCAAATTTCAGGATTTCCTTCTTTCCATAGCTAGTATTCCATTGTGTATATATATATCGTGGGCAATCTTTCATGGTTTCCTATTGCCCTTTAGGGAAAACCTATGTCCCCTCCTGTGGTTCCCAAGTCCTCCTGGTCTGGCCCCTAAGCTACCTCCAGGTGCTCATTTTACCCCAGCATTGCTGTAGTTTTCAGATTCTTGTGCACTTCCTTGCCTCTGTAGCATAGAATGTGTCTTTCCCCTCTCTCTGGTGCTTTCTCTTGGGCAGCCGTAATATTGTGCTAACTCCTTCTCATCTTTCAGGTCTCTCTTCCTCCCAGAGACCCTCTATGTCCCCACCCTATCCCCTGCTCAGATAGGGATCCCATCATGTACCAACTTGCTCCAACCATCATGCCCCCTGGTTTCTCAGTTCCTAGCCCTCATACTCCTGCTGCATATAAGTAGCTGCTACCTCCACTCTCTGCTAGGCCCTGAGGCCCAGGCTGGATCTTCAGTCCCCAGAAGGGGGTCCGATAAAAAAAGAAAAAAATATATGTAATATAATGTATACATATAACATGTCTTCCTGATTCGTTTGTCCATAGATGGACATGTGGGTTGTTTCCATGTCTTGGCTACTGCGAATAATGCTGCAATGAACCTGAGAGTCTTTGAGATTTTGTTTTCATTTCCTTTGGATAAATACCCTGAAGTGGGATTGCTGGATCATATGGCAGTTCTCTTTTTAAGTTTCTGAGGAAGCTCCGTACTGCTTTCTATAGAGTCTGTATCAATTTCCCTTCTCATCAGTAGTGCACAAGGGTTCTCTTTTCTTTACATCATCACAGCAATTATCTCTTGTCTATTTGATAATAGCCATTCCAACAGGTGATATTTCATTGTGCTTTTGATTTGTGTTTCCCTGATCATTAGAGATGTCGAGCCTCTTTTCATGTACCTGTTGTGCATTTGTATGTCTTCCTACGTAAAAGATCTCTTTAGTGCTTCAGCTCATTTTTTAATCAGTTGTTTGTTTTTTTGCTGTTGAGTTGTATAAGTTCCTCATGTATTTTGGACATTAACCCTTTATCATATAGATGATTTGTAAATATTTTCTCTCATTCCATAGGTCGCCTTTTCATTTTGTTGATCTCCGCTAGATCTTTTTTATTGTTTAAAAAGTGTTCTAAAATTTCCGATTATAAATACTCAAAAAAAATCTTTCTTGGTGCCATTTTGACCTCTAGCTACCACATCATTTCCTCTGTTCCATTTATTGCCAAACTTTTTAAAGTAATTTTCTATATTTTCTCTTAAATTTCCATCCTTTCATTCTCTCTTGAACCAGGCTTTTGCCTCTTCCATTTTTCTGCTCTAGTAACAGTTTTCAAAGAGTTTCACATGCTAAATAATTGGGTATTCCTTTGTGTTTGTTTTACTTGGCTTATTAGCAATAGTTGATACATGCTTTTCAGTGAGGTTTCAGGATACCACATTATCTAGTTGTCTCCTGATTTTCTGGTCACTTCTTATTGGTCTCTCATACTGATTTCTCATCTCATCAATCTTTGAATTTTGGCATCTCCAGGAATATAAGGACTAATCCTAAAAGTCTTATCCAAATTCATTCCCAAGGAAATCTCATTCAATCTCATGGCTTTAAGTGCCTCTAGAAGTTGATGAATCTAAGTTTTTCTATCTCCATCCTGAACCCTTACTCTTGAACTTTAGACAAATATTCAACTGCCTTTTGGAACTTTCCAATTAAATGTCTAACCTAACATGCCCAAACTGAGCTTCTGACATGCAGAGTCTCACCAAACTTGCACCTCCCACAGTTTTCCCAACTTATTTAATGGGAAACTCTATTTTTACAATTATCCAAACAAAGAACCTTAGATCATCCCTGGCTAGCAAGGATGCAAGTAGCATCCTCACTTTCTGTCCCCAGCAATTCTTTTAGCTCTATCTTCAAAATGTGTGAAGAATTTGATTATTTCTCATCATACCAACTCTCACCACTATGAAGAGGAAGACTTCTAGGAGTATCAGAATGACAGAAATTAAGAGAAGAAAGAGAATTTTAACGTGTTGCTGTGAACTGCATATAAGGACCACCTTAAATATTTGGGAGATATATGGATAAAAATTTAAATTACCACTTGGAGGACTGAATAATATAGATCATAGCTTTATTTGTATTTATTTAATGATAATATATTATCATTATTATTTATAGATGAGCAAACTGAGAGCTAGTTTAGTAACTTGTCCAAGATTACGAGTCAATAGTAAATCCTTTAGGATTAAAACCAGAAATGCCTTCTTCTAGATATCTCAGAGTTTTCCAGTTCAGCACTAAAATGAAACTTAAAACCATAAAATTTCAAATAAAATATTGTTTGCCTAAGACAAACAAGGAATAAGTTTGAATGTTTAATATAAATCTTTCATTATTTTCCAATGTTTATTGATTAATATTTACTGTGGTTACAAGCCTGATGTGAGCTTGAGTAGAGACAAAGGAAAAGGATATAATGCTTTCTAAACCAACATAATTTACTTGAAATCTAACTGTGGATCTTAGAGAGAAGAATCTATAGGAGCCAGAGCACAATGGAATATAGTATAATGAGCAAGTACATGATGCTGCTGATACCTCAGTTAGAGCCATAGGACCATATTTTGTACATCATTCTTTGTCCCTAATTAACATACTGAATTGGAATATTAAGAAATGGGGATTCTGGACCTGGATCTGTCACTGACTATAGGCATGGGCAAAAACTGAATCTCCCTTCCTTCATTTTCCCAGTCCTGGTCAATTTCTTTTCCCCACTCCAGCAGTTTTTTTTTCTTAACATTGGTGGCTTTCTTGGAAATGAGCCCTATCTGATCAATTTCAAGAGTTCATAGGAGTAGATTGCCCCAGCCCTTTCAGATATTGCCAGTTATCACTTCACTTAGTCACTGTTGGATTGGAAAATCCTTCCCAATTACAGCTGCTGTAATCAAATTGTCATACTATCCTTCCCAGTGAATGCTGTTTGTGGAATGGGGCTCTTCTATTCTCAGATGCATCAGAAGGCCATGTATTTTTCATTTGCGTTCTCCCACATAGATGGAGATTTCACAAACGCCTTTAAGATATTGGCGTTTTTTCCTCCGTATCTCCGTTTATATAATAAGATATGTGGAGATATCTTATCACCTATTTTGTTGTAAATTTTTCTATGAGTTTTGGTTTTACTATGTAGTAGCTCTATTTTAAACAACTACGTTGCCGTGATCATCCTCCAAAATCGCTTTCCTCAGAGTTTTATCGTAGATCTTGAATTATTTTGCCATATTTCTTATCGCATTCAACTTTTCAAACTGTTCTTCAACACTGGAGCTTTTTATACACTTCTGTCTTTTCTTCTCAAATCCTTGAATTTCATTCTCCTGTCTGATTCTTGATCCTACAGAAGTATAGACTTTGGCTATCTTCCTTGCCTCTAGACTTTTGGGCCAGCAAGTATCTCCATGCTCTACTGCAGCTATGCATTCATCTTGCACTTAGGTTTCCTATCTCTTAATGTCAGCAACATAATGATGTTTAGACAATTGATAAGCCTATGGATATTAATTTTCATGAATCAAATTTCTAATAAGGTCATGGTTGAGTTGGGAAATGTTCAATTGTGTAAGTGTAGATGAACCACAACAGATCAAAAGTGGTCCTAAATTGAAGCAAACTTGGTATCCATATGATGGGAAATTAGCACCAGGTATGCCTCTATCCAAATCTCTAGCTTAGAGAAAATAAGAAAGGCCCTACCTCATTCCATTAAATATATAATTGACATCTACAAAGGAAGATATTGATATTGGCTTATGTGTTTATCACGAAGTTTCTAACTATATTCTTACTCCTCTCTGCACTGATGCAAAGACGACTCCTTTGGTCAGAGGTAAGTCTTCCTTTTCAAGATTAATCTTCAGTAAACCTCTCAGCGCAGCAGATCTTACTTGGTGAGAAACATATATCAATTTGCTTTTCCTCTTTAAGACACTGTCTCCGGCAGAAACCGAAAGATTTTGAGCACCGACCAGGATCCACCAAGGTAGCTGTGGCTGTGGTAAAAGACGAGTAACTGAAATTACTGATCTCTTATTTAATAACATACTACTTCTGATTACAAAAGATACTGTGTGTACATTGTACAAATTTGGAAAATACCAAAAAAAAAGAAGACATTAAAAATATTACGTATCCCTATATTTATACGTAAGATTGAAACTTGTTTTTAATTAATATATGATTAGTTTTTTGGCCATATGTTACTCTCCTCAACAAGATTCAAGATGTTTTTAGAACTATATAATATTCCCTTGGAATGATACATGACAATTTTTTCCATCTTTCAACTAGGCCATATTTAAAATTTTTATGTTTTAGGATTATGATAAGCAAGTTTGTAGTACATATTTTAATATTTACACGACATATATTTAGGATACTTATGAAAGAGTTAGATTCTAGGGTTCTTAACTTATATACTGCCACCAACAATGTATGTAAATTTTGCCCCAAAATAAAATGGCATCCATTGCAATTTTAATTTTTTATGCCTTTGGTAATTTGTTGTAAATAGTTTTTCCTTCTTTTTCTTTATTTAATTGTTCATATACTTTGCTTATTATGTTGTTGGTATTTTTTGTTAGTGAATTCAGAAGAGCTCTTTTTATTTTTTAAGAATTCTATTTTTTGGAGCACTTTTAGGTTTATAATGAAATTGAGAGAAAGGTACAGAGGCTTGCCTTATACCCTCTGCCCCCATACATGCATGTTGATCACCATTATCAACATCATTCACCAGAATGAAACAATTTTTACCCAAGATAAACCTACCTTGACACGTGATAATCACCCAAAGACCATAGTTTACATTAGGGCTCACTCTTGGTGTTGTACAGTCTATGGGTTTGGGCAAATATATAATGACAAATATATACAATGGGCAAATATATCATTATAATATCATACAGAGTATTTTCACTGCCCTAAAAATTTTCTGGGTTCTGCCTATTCATCTCTCCCCATGTCCTTCTGGTAACCATTGACTTTTTTTTTTTTTATCATAGTCATAGTTTTACCTTTTCTTGTCATAGTTGGAATCATACAATCCATAGCCTTTTCAGATTGCCTTCTTTCACTTAGAAATACGCATTTAAGGTTCCCACGTCTTTTCGTGGATTGACAGCTGATTTCTTTTTAACATTGAATAATATTCCATCGTCTAAATGTACCACAGTTTATCCATTCACCTACTGAAGGACATCTTGGATGCTTTCAAGTTTTGGAAATTATGAATAAAGCTGCTGTAAACATTCATGAGCAGGTTTTTGTGTGGACATAACTTTTCAACTCTTTTGGGTAAACACCAAGGAGCACAATTTTTGGATCTTAAGGCAGCAGTATGTTTAGTTTTGTAAGAAACTACCAAACTGTCTTCTAAAGTGGCTTTACCATTTTGCATTTCCACCAGCAATGTATGAGAGTTCCTATTGCTCTGTATCCTCACTAGAGTTTGGCGTTGTCAATATTCTGGATGTTGGACATTCTAATAGATGTGAAGTGGTATCTGATTGTTGTCTTAATTTGCATGTAAATCTCTGTGGCTATTTTAGTACTCATTAAATTTAAACACCATCAATCTTATCCCCTCACTTGCCATCCCCTGGTAACCACCATGTTACTATCTTTTTTTATACAGGTTTGAATTTTTTTAGTCCAACCACTATAAAGAACAATATGGAGGTTTCTCAGAAAATTAAAAATGGATCTACGATACAATCCAGCAACTCTACTTCTGGTGTCTGTTTGCTAATTTTTTAATATCTGCTAATGTCTTATATCCTTTTTACTTTGGGTTTAATTTGATTTTTTTTCTAATTTCTTGAGTTAAATTTTTAGATACACTTTTAAGTTTTTTCAGATATATAGATATAAGGATATAAATGCTACTATAGCTGTATTCCATGAGCTTTGATTTATCTCAATTTTATTACCATTTAGGTAAAAATATTTTCTAATACTCATTGATATTTCTTCTTTGAATTAGATCAAATTTTGTTCATCTTCATGTTTAAATCTTCTATATTCTTACTTTGTGTTGTTTTTACCATTTTTTGTGTAACTAAGTAAGGTATGTTATCATCACCCATTATTACAGCATTCTGTACTCTTTTTGTATTTTTTTTGCATATTTTGAGACTAAATTATCAGTTGCATTAAATTTATGATTGTAACATTAGCCTATTGAATTGAATCTTTTATAATTTTGAATAATCATTCTTTGTCTCTAGTAATGCATTTTTTATTAATGTCTACTTCATATAATGTTGATATAGCTACTTTACCATGCTTTTTGTTAGATTTTTATATAATATTTTCCTATTCTTTAGATTTTACAATTTCTATTATCTCATATGTTAGGTGTTTCTCTTATAAACTATGCACTACATTCAAAATTATATTCACTACATTCAAAAGATTCACTATAAATTTTTATTTTTTAATTTTACATTTATATTTGCAATAGTTAGTAATATATGTTGAGTGAAATACACCTGGTATTTTTCGTTTTCTTTCTCTCTTTCCTGTCTTCTTTTGTATATATTGGTTACTTTTTATAATTCTATCACCTTGTTTACTGTTGGGTAGTTACATTGTCTTTTATTATTCTTTTGCTGTGTATGCTAGAGGTTCCAACTTACCGAAGTTTTATTAAAAGTCATTGCTTTCTTTTCTTTGTCTCTGAGCTTTCACGTGAGAAGATAATTTTCTTTCTGTCCCAACAATGCTTTTAAGAATTTCCATTAAAACAGAAGTGCTGTTGCTGAATTCTCTGTTTTTGTTTGACTGAAAACATCTTCATGTTACTCATTCCCAAAGGCTATTTTCACTTGACACAGAATTCTAGATTACCGTTATTTTCTTTCAGGACGCTGAAGATATCGTTGCATTGTCTTCTCAATTCCTTCTTTGTTGGCAGTATTGAGAAGTCAGCTGCCAATTTAATATTCGATTTTTTGAAAGCAATCTGTTCTTATCTTCAACTTTTGCTTTGTCTATCTTTTTTTTAGGTTTACTATGCTTTTTCTTCTTTCCTCTATCCTTCCTTCATTCTTTTCTTTCTTTGTTCCTTCATCTTTCCCTCCCTACTTGCCCCCTGCTTTTTTCTCTGTTTTCCAATGTTTAATTTTCCCTTGTTACATTTCAGATATTTTCTTCTGATTTGTATTTCCTCTTTATTAAATATCTCACAAATTATGCACGGACTACTGCTTAACACAGTCTTTATTTAATTTTGCTTTATTTTATTTTTTTGTCCCAGTAGTAGCATAAATCTATCAGATTTCTGCTTTTCAACTTTCCTCCTGCCTCTTCAAGAATGGGCAATAGCTTCTAGGGAGAAGAGCTGCCTCAAAGCTTGCCTCAACCAGACCCATTTTTGTAATTATTAATTGACTTGTTAACTGCAGTGCCTTTATGTAGAGTTGGGTTTTTTTCTTTTTGTCCATCTGTGTTCCTCAGTGAGGGGTTTATACGAAAAATCATAATTTTATAGTATGTTTTAATATCAGGTTGTTATGTAAGACAGGCTACTATAATTTTATAGTGTTTTAACCTCTAGTAGAGCCACCAATTCACTATTCTTATTTTTCAAAATCTTTGTATGGTGTAGACTGATAGTTCTTTCTAACTGCATAGTGAAGATGGGTTTATAGCCATGGACTTTGAGCTTGAATTTTAATTCTGTCTTTTGCTAGCTATGTAATTCAGGTAAGGTACTTAAGTTCTATGAGTCTTAGCTGCCTCATTTGTAAAGTGGAGACAGTGGTAGCTAATTCACAGAGTCTTGTGAGACGTGATGACTTAATATGTAAAAATGTTTACAACAGTGCCTGGAATATAATAGTTTCTCAGAGATTAAGAACTATTATTAATTAATGGTGAACAAAAGACTAGAGTTAAAATTAAATCATTATTAAGTACAAGTTTTAGACCATGCAGTGGGCTTTACCCTGGAGATAAAACAAACCATTGAGGCAAAGAGATAAATACACAGACATGAAAAAAAGACAGATTAATTAAACATCATCATAGAGAAATATATTGGGTCCAATGAGTGAACAAATAAGGGTTTGCTTATTGTTGTGAGTGAAAGAGAATACAATATGTTTAGGTCCAAAAACTAATAATAATGAAAATAGTTTTCATTTGTTGAAAACTTATGTCTCAGGTATAGTTTTAAATATTTTGCATACCTTATCTCATTTAACTGTCATAAAACTTTGAGGTAGATGCTGGTCAGAGAAAAAACCTGAGGCTTTGAGTGACCCAATGATTTGCCCAAGGATGCAAAATTAATACTTGCTTAACCTAGGATTCAATCTTAAATTGTTTCAAATCCAGAATTCACACTTTAAATATTTAATCGGTGGCCTCTACATTGAGAAGGTTGAAAACTGATGCATGAAAAGCATTCAACAGGTTTCTGAATATTGCCTCCAATTAGATACTGCTGACCATAGGTCTGGCTGTTTCGAGGGACCTTAATTATTTTATGGCTAAAGAGGAACATGAAGATGTGAAAATTGGAAATTAAGTGTTAGGTAAATGACAACATGGGAGTCTATTAAAATGAATATGTTTACATATTTAAAAAATCATTATAATAAGTACTTGATAATGCACTCTGATATGCTTACTAAATGGTTTTCCAGGCTGCAACTTGATTGAACAAAAAATTTTACCTTAGGCAAATTTAAATAAAACAACTCTATCCTCTCTATTAGGCATTCTTTGTCAATTCCCTTCATTTTGATATGTCTTAACTCAGAGATTGGATGATAACTGGAAATTTAATGTCACTTTTTGTTCCCCATTTCTTACCCACCTCTAATTCAGATCTTAGAGTTAAATTTTTGTTTTCTTTTCTATTGCTGAAACATTATCTGTTTGGCAAGAGTTATACTTATCTCTTATGGCTGGGACCTGGATCTCTGCTATTGAAGAGACTTCATACCAATGAATAGTACCATCATGCAAAAGTCATAAAGGGTTTTAAAATGTTAATATTTGTGATTTATTAGTTCTTTAGCTTACTCAAGAATATTGAAAGGATTTACAAATTGAGGAAAGTATAATTCTTTCAGTCAGATGAATAAAAATATAGAAAGGAACACTAATTTGTAAATTACCTTAACTAATACAAATTAATTAATGCAAACTAATCATTTGCACAAGAGAAGCACTAGCATGGTGTTCATTTGTCATAGATCATCTCTCTGGATTGATCAGGAAGTTATTTAGCTCGTCAGTAAAATCCTAGCCAATTTGAAGAGGTTATTTTTTTCTCTCAATATTTTATCTTATTCTCAAGTAACCAAATTTCCTTTGTGACTGACTCATCTTAATTTTCAATTTAATGAAAGCTAGAATACCAGGACTGATGCTCTCTTCTTGCCAACATTCGATCACAGGTGAATGTCTCTCCGCTATTCTGGGCTCAGCCTCCCATTAACCATGCAATATATCATACAGCTGCCAAGGCCACTATGTTTCGGCCATTTGAGATCCCTGAACTACATCTTAAGAACCGTCTACATCTGAACATTACCTTGTATTCCTTCTCCTCTACCACTTTCCCTTCTTTTCTCTTTTTCTTTCTACTTCTATTCCTCTTCTTCCATTTCTTAAAATATTGTAGTGTGACATCCAATGTGTTAAACACTTTACTCACACTATCTCTTTTAATCTTTCAAAACTTTATGAAATCAATGATATTACCATCCATTATACAGTTAGGAGAACTAAAGCTTCCTCCACAACTACAAAGGAGTCCCAGCTTCTTAATATAAATCCCGATCTATTTGATGGCAAGCTCACTCTATAAACCGCTATTGTATGCCTCTGTTTTCACTATCTCTATGGATTATTTTATGCTTGTACTTCCCCTAAAATAGTGTGCATTTCTTCATGTTTTGGACATCAGCAGTATTGATCTCTATCAATTTTCTTCAACTGCTCTGTTCGAACCAAACACTGATCTTACATATTCACAAAGTATCCACTTAGACTGATACCCTTCATTGCTTCTTTTGTGACTTTAAAGTTTTACCAATAGCCAAACCACAACATTGTGCAACTTATAGGTACTACCCTGTGAACTCCTTCAAAGCCACCCACTTACCTGCATTGACACCTTGTATTTTCCTCCTTGGTTTTTTATTTTTTTGATCTATCAAACAAAATAGAGATCATTCTGTCCATTCTGGTAAACCGTATAACTTAGTATCTGTTTGAATGATCAAAAGCTAAAGGGAAGCTTGTGGTCATATTCATAGACCAAGTGTCTTCAAAGTCTTATTTAAAGTTTTTTGCAATGCTCAGAAAATGTAGAGTTTGATGGTATAGACCCTATACATCTGAAGTGCAGCTATCTCCCCATGTGACCCTTCTGCTTTTGACCAAATTATCTATTCAGCCTTTTCTTTAACCTCAGTGACTTCTATAGGAAGCATGATAAAGTGGAAGGAACAAATATGCTGGAATCTGAAAAGCCGGGATTTGTCTCCCATTTATCACACATAGTAGTGTAGGTGTGACCTTGAAAAATTATTTTCATTCATGTCATTTACGTCTTCTATAAAAATAGGCAATTATAGTCATCTCATAATGTTATCTGGAAGGTCAGATTAGATATCTACATGTAAAGTTATGGAATGATATTTGGCACATACTAGACACTCATACTGACTTCTTGTCTTCCTTTCTCTTACCTTCCAACGTCTATTTACAAGAGTCTTATCCTCAATTTCAAAACTCTTTGTTAGAGGATTCAGGACATTTTCCAAAACTTCCACCATTGCCATAATTCCACCAATCTTACTATTTAAAACATACTTATATAAATCTTCTAAATAAAGAAAATCCATTAATTTACTGAGATTTATTAAATTAGCTTGTAAGTCTGCCTAGAGAATTACCGTGTCCTTTGTTTCTCTGTTTCCTGTGTCTAGTATTTTGTTCAGTAGCTCACTAGTCACTCAATAGTAGATGGTTATTGATTGACACAATAGCATTATGTGCCTCAAAACCTTCCCTAATTATATTTGAGGTCCTCACTTCCTCAGGCCCCTTTCATTATCAATAATAACTATAACAACAGCCATAACCATAATAATAATAACAGTACCTAAGTTGGTAGACTAATTTTCAGCTTGTAGGGCTGTCTCCCAGTAAATATTTCACTAAATCCTAACTGCAATCTTTTGAGGTGCATACAATTAATAGTCATAAAATTTTATATCAGATTTTTTATTTCTTAAAGTGGTGGTTGTTATTGATTCTGCTTGTATTTTCTTTGTTTTTTGTTGAGGACATTGACAAATCACTTAAATTCTCTTGAGTGGCAAGGTTCACAAGTTATTAAATAGGGAGCTAGTAATAAAATCTGGATTGTCTAAGTTTGATTCAGTTCTATTTCTGATATTTGCTGTACCTCTTGAATTTCGAACTTTCCAGGGCCAAATTAGAATACTCTTGGCTATAAATTTATGTCTCCATTTTTAGAGAACCTGTATTGCCTCAGTGGCTACCCCTGTCAAGAATATCGCATAATTTCCACCAAGGGCTTCATTGCAGTACATATTTTGATTGCTTATTTTTAATTGATTCATAAAGCCATTGTGGTATTCCTTTACTAATGCGTTAACTAATTCAATAAGGATTTTTGAGGTAGTATTTCTTTACTTGCCCTTTTATTCCTACTGTACCTTATACTGTACTGTGCTTATACTGTACTGTACCAGCATATTCTGAGACTATATCCTGGATCATCTTATAGATTCTGTTATTGATATCCCAAGAGATATATACTACTGTTCTCAGTCCATTCATCTTCCATGGAGCTCAATTTATTATGAAGCCTTCACTTTTGAATCTTATAAATAAATTAATAAATTATTATTTTCTTAATAATTTCAATATCTAAAAAATCAAGGCCCCAAAAGAACATAGGATCTTACCTTAATCATCTCATTTTATCTGCATATTAATTTTCAAAATGAGGTAAGCAAAGTACATTAGTATAACACTATGCTAAATGAGGAAGCGGAGATTCAACCTACTCGAGAGAATTCTTTAATTGACAAGATTGTGTTAAGAACCTGCATTTTCCAATTCATCATCTAGCATTTCTATTTTTAGCTAGAAGCTATATGTTACATACAAATACGTCAGAAGCATGTATTTTACCTTGTAGAATGAAGGTCAGATAACACAGAAAATGGAGAAGGTAGTGAAAGGTCTTCATTTTGTAGAAAGAAGCTGCTGAAAGATTTAGTGTCAAAATCTAGAGACTAGAGCAATGTCCAAAAAGCCAAGAGACATTTACCATTTATAGTTTTCTAATGGAAGAAAGACTCTCTTTATCCGGAAATTGTTTTGATTTTGTGTACTTGTCTCTGCTCCATTGACTAGGACTGTAGGCAGAATTACCCAAATTGAAACACTTGAAATTAATTGATCTTTGGGGAAAAATCTTTATGTGGATGATAGCTGTAAACACGACACCATTATATCAATGGTGATCAATTGAACATCGACACTGGGGGTATATATAGAGTGGGTTCAAGAGAAATATTTATTTACCATTTTCCATGTAAAACAACTGAACTTTACCTTGTCAGTTAAACTCCTGCTTGCTTCTCAGAATATATTCTGGTCACTAATAAGATGTATAAATTCATCAATATGCCATAGATATATGACCAAAATCTTGACTTATATCCAGTTATCCCTTTAATTTCCCCAAATTATTCATTTACCAAAGGCAAAATATTAAGCCTCAGTTTTGTCACTAATTTTTATTACTTTTTTTCAGATGCAACTTGAATATTTATGGAGCTCTTTTTTTTCCTAGAAAAGCCCAATTAGTTTCCATTTATTTAAAATTTTTTTTTGAGGTAATATATGTACACAATATTGAAAAAAACCTTGTAATGAGTGGAAATAATTTCCCACCTCAGTCTCCCTCTTTTCAGGTTTTCTGGTTATTATTAACACAAGAATTAGGATCTAGCTTATACTTCGTCCTTGCTTGGCAACCACAGAGTATATCTTTTGGTTTCCACTAGGAAAAATGTGCATTTAGATCACTTACACTCTCTCCTGTGCTGTCCTTCTCCTCAAATGTTGGAAAGTTATATTGTTTTTTAAAAATTTCTGTCGATTATCTTCAAACATTTAAATACCTCTATTCTTTCCCCACCACCTTTAGTCACAAGGTGAACTTTTATTTATTTAGAATGAAGATAGCCCCGTTGCTCTTCACTCCAACCTTCCTTCCCATTTTGCACCTCTCAATCACTTGTTGTTATACATTTCCTTTTATCTTGTTGAGAATAATATCTGCACTCTGTGTATAACCAGAATTGAGACATTCATGCTTTGTGTTCAAACATTGTAATACACCAAGCAGTATGAATTATATTGCCTTTTTTCTTTTTTTCTTTATTTTTTTGCTGAGGAAGATTCATCCTGAGCTAGCATCCATTGACAGTCTTCCTCTTTTTTCTTTTTTATGTGAACCACCACCACAGCATGGCCACTAACAGATGAGTGGTGTAGGTCCACACACGGGAACTTAACCCAGACTGCTGAAGTGGGGCATGCCACACTTAACCACTAGGTGACAGTGGCTGGCCCTGTATTGCCTTTTTTATGTGTCTCTACATGACAATACTTTTGCTAATAAAAGACAAGTGTTCTTGGTTTTAAAGTCAAGTGGATTATTAATATTTTTACTATTGTTATTATTTTCTTTTATTATTATTTCCTTTTTTCTTATTTTCATTTTTTTCTCAACTGTTTTCAAGTCTTTTAGTTTTAGTCGTTTCATTTTTGAGAAGTATTTTTTTCTGTAGTTTTCTTGTAGATATGGGAAAAAAATATAAATAATGGTCATTCCTTATCCTCAAGTTTATCTTAGTATCATAGGCTATTTGTGTGTCTGTTTCATTCTAAGATTTGTAAAACTTGTCCTCTTGCATTGAATCTACTGGTGTCTAGACTCGTGTCTACTTTTTCTTGTTTTTCTCCATCCAGAAAAGTTCTCAGAAAAGATATAAAATATGAGCACTTCTTTATTGGAAAATATTTTTATTCTGCCAAATGTTTGTTTTTTTTCTCTCTAGCCACTTTTAGAAATCTTCTTTATAGTTCATTCCCCAAATTTTATGATTCACACATTTTGTGGTGTGAATTTCTTTTTTATGAATTGTGTCTGGCATTGGTGAGTTTGTATCTTTCTTTGAATTCAGGAAATTTTCTTCTCTTTTTATACTTTTTTCTCTGATAAAGTCTTTCCTTTCTTATTTGTTTGTTTGTATATTTCTTTTCTCTCTTTTTGAGATTTCTTTTAGTCAAATGTTGGAATGTTCCTCTATAGTTTTATCTTTACTCTCACACTAAACCTATTTATGTTATTTATAATTTTAACTTTACAGTTCTCTTTTATTTTCAGTTCTTCTATTTTTTTTTTAGCAAACATATTTAGGATGTAAGTGTCCTTATCTGTTCTCTGATCGTTCTTTTGTCATAGAGCAGAATTCTTGTTTTATAGATGTAAAAGCGTCTTAAAGCCCTCTGCAAATATATATTTAAGAGGGTTTTGTTTGTTTATATTAAATTCTGTTTTCCTTGAACTGTTTTTCCCCCAAAGACCTCTCTTCAATGGAATTCTCATATAAGTTCTGTGAATGTAGGTTGAATGGGCTTCTTTAATGTGAGCAGAAGGGATTAAGATTCTCAATGTCTTGAAGAAGAAACTTTGCTTTTTTTCTGGGACAAAAGTTCCTACACCAGAAATCATAGCTCTTGCCACATAATTTTTTCAGTTGGGCTGTGGTTTTATTTAAACAAAATTAAAAACTCCATGAGAGAGGAACAGTATTTGTCTTGTTCTACAATGAATGTCCAACGTGTAGAAATGTTTTAGTTACAGAGTAGGGACTCCAAAAAGGAATATATAATCCAAATGAATTTCTTTGGCGTTTTTGCAAAAAATCAATTGACTGTATATATATTAGAGTCTATTTCTGGACTTTATATTCTGTTTCATTGATCTATATATCTCTCCTTTATGTCAATACCAAGTTCTCTTAATTACTGTAAATTTATAGTAAAATCTGAAATCAGATAGTATAACTTTTACAACTTAGTTCTCAGTTATTCAATTTCTCTTGGTTATTTTAGGTCTTGTGAATTTCCGTAAGTGAGATTGTCAATATCTATTTAAAAAGTCAGTTGAACAAGATATGGAAACAAGCTGTCTATTGATGAATGAATGGATAAAGAAGATGTAGTATGTATATATAAAGAAATACCACTCGGCCATAAAAAAGATGAAACCTTGCCATATGTGACAACATGAATGGACTTTGAAGTATTATGCTAAGTGAAATAAGTCAAACAGAGAAAGACAAATACTGTATGATTTTGCTCATATGTGGGATATAAAACAAATAATACAAACAAAATGAAACAAAAACTCATAGATAAAGACAACAGATTGGTGGTTACCAGAGGGGAAGAGGGTTGGAGAGGGTGGGTGAAATGGGTAATGGGGGTCAAGTGTATGGTGATGGATGGAAACTAGATTTTGGTGGTGAACATGCTATAATGTATACAGTTGTTTAATTATAATGTCATATACCTGAAACTTATATAATATTATAAGCCAATGTTATCTCAATAACACACAAAAAAATTGCTAGCTGGAATTTGGTTCAGATTTTGTTGAATCTATAGAGCAATTTGGTGATATTTGACATTTAACATTTCCAGTACATGAACAATGTATATCTCGCTGTTATTTAATTCCTCTCAGCAATGTAGTTTTCAATGTATAGGGAGGTATTGCATATATCTCTATCTCTATCCTTAATTTTGTCATTATTTTGGATACTTTCATATACAGTATTTTTAAAATTTCATTTTGCAAGTATTTATTGCTAGTTTACAGAAATATAATTGATTTTTATATTGATCTCGTATCAACAACCTTGCTAAATTCAATTATTACTTCTCTGGTCTTCATTTTTAGATTCCTTAGAATTACTAGATAGAGAATCATGCTCTTCAAATAAACATTGTTTCTGTTTTTATTTGTAATCTACATATCTTTATTTTTTTCTTGTTGCACTTTCTGGAATTCTCTTACAATGTCGAATTGCAGTGGTGAGAGTGAACGTACTCACCTTGTTCCTGATCTTGGGGAAAATGCATTCTCAGTCTTTGACCGTAAGAATGATGTTTGCTGTTAAATGTTTCATAGATACCTTTTTTCAGGTTGAGAAAGTTCTCTTCTACTTCTGGTTGCAAAGAGTTTTTATCCTGATGGGTATTACATTTATTTCAAACATTTGTTTGCCTCTATTGAAATAATCATGTTTTTGCTTTTTCCTCTTGTAATATGGGGAATTATGCTGACTGATTTCTGAATGTGAAACTAAATTTATATTTTATTTGATAATATTTTGTTAAGAATTTTTGCGTCTATGTTCGTGAGGAACATCAGTCTGTAGTTTCCTTGTAATTTCTTTTTTGAGTTTTGGTATGGGGTAATGCTGGCCTCCACATATCATTTGGGAAACATTTGCTCCTATTCTTTTGTACAGAAGTATTTGTGTATAATGGATACGCTTTCATTATTAAATATTTGGAAAAATTCAACAGTGAAGTCATCTGTACCTGGTATTTTCTATGTGAGAAGATTTGTACATAGACATTATTTTTAAAAATAGATATATGACTATTCAAGTTGTAAATTTCTTCTTTAGTGAAACTTGTTAGTTTACCTCATTTGAGGAATTTTTCCTTTTCAGAACAGTTATCAAAGTATTGGTATAATGTTGTTTATTACATTCTCTTATTGTTCTTTTAATATCTATTGCATCTGTAATGATTTCTCCTCTTTCATTCCTGATATTGGCCATTTATGCCTTCTCTCGCTCTCTCTTTTTTTGGCTTGATCTAGCTAGAGATTTCAGAAAAATATTTTTTTAAATATTTTTAAAGAACCAGCTTTTGTTTTTATTGATTTTTTTCTATGTCCATTTCATATTTAATTAATTGCTGAACTTATTTTACTATATCCTTCCTTCTGCTAAGTAAAACTAAGGGTTTCCTTGAAGTATATATTTTATAAAATTAGGTTTAATTTGCCTTCTTTTTCTAGATTCTTAAAGTGGAAGCTTAAGTCATTGGTTTGAGACATTTCTTATTTTTTAATATAACCATTTAAAAGACTATGGTTATAGTCATAGGCTCTCTCATTGTCTCTGTCTCTTTCTCTGTCTCTCTCTGTATGTGTCACTCTGTCTCTGTCTCTCTCTGATTCTCTCTGCTTGTCTCTATCATCACTCATACTGGCGGAAGCAAGGTGCTACATTGTGAGAATCCTTATGGAGTGGCCCAAATGATGTGGTTAGAATCTGTGATCTTCTATTTAACAACTTGTTAAACACTGAAGCCCTAAGTCCAGTAGTTCTCAAGAATGAAGCCTTCCAACAACCACATGAGTGAGCTTAGAAACATCCTTAAACCTCAGTTGAGTACTGAGATGTCTACAGCTCGGGTCACCTGCTTCAGAACAACCTCATCAGAAACCTTGAGACAGAAGCATCAATCTGAGTTGTTTCTGGAAACCTACCCATAGACTCTATGAGATAATAAAGATTTTAAGGTGTTACTTATGGGGGTAATTTATTATGCAGACATAGATAACAATATCCTGTCTTACAGTCTCTAACATAATTTCATGTTCACAATATTTACATTTAATGAAATTATAGTATGGTTGTGTTTAAACCTGCCACCTTGTTGATTTCTTTGTTCTCCCTGCTTTTATTCTCTTTTCCTTCCTTTCCTCTTTGTGTATTTTTTATAATTACATTTTATCTACCCCTTTGGCTATATATTTTGTTATCCCTGCTCTAGAGTTTATAATATACGTCTTTAACTTTCATATATAATGTAAGAGCCTTAAAATCCTATGCTTCTATTTTCCCCTTCCTGTGATTTGGGCTATTGTTGTCATTCATTTCTTTCTGCAATGCTATAAACTGCACAATATATTATTACTTTTGCCTTAAGTAGTAATTATCTTTTCTAGAGATTAAAAACTTGGGAAAGGATATTTTATATTATGCATAAATTTAGAAATTCCAACTCAATTTATTCCTTTGTGTAGATCCAAATTTCTATCTTGTACACCTTTCCTTCTACTGGAAGAATTTTGTATTTTTCCTTAAGAAAACTCTGATGGAAATGTGTTCTTTCAGGTTTTGTTTGCTTGAAACTGTCTTTATTTCACTTTCATTTTTGGTACTTTTTTCACTGAGTAGAATTGTAAGTTGACAGAATTTTTTTCAATATTTAACGATGTTGATACAGTGTCTTTTGACTAGCGTAGTTTCTGATAGGAAGTTTACCTATATTCTTCTTTCTCATAACAACATCGTTGAGATGTAATTCATGAACCAAACAATTTACTCACTCAATGTGTGTAGTTCAGTGGTGTTTAGCTGTGTAACCATCACCAAAATCAAATTTAGAATATTTTAATACCCAAAAGAAACCTACCATTCTTTAGTTATCACACTTCCGCAAGCTCCCTCTCTCCCTAAGTCGTAGGCTACCACTAATCTACTTCCTTTATCTATATATCTGCCTAGTCTAGATATTTTATACAAATGGAATGATACAACATGCGACAATTTGTGACTGGTTACTTTCACTTAGAAAATATTTTCAAGGATTATCCATATTGTCTCATGAATTAGTACTTCATTCCATTTTACTGCCAAATAATATTCCATTGTATGGATAAGCCACATAATGTTTATTCATCGATCAGTTTATGGACATTTGGGTTGTTTCTACCTTTTGGCTATTATGAATAATGCTGCTATGAACATTTATGTACAACTTTTTGCATTGACATATGGTTTCGTTTCTCTTGCATATATGCCTAAGTGGAATTGCAAAGTCAAATGAATACTCCATGCTTAACTTCTTCAGGAACTGTCAGATTCTTTTCTAAAGTGTTTGCACCAATTTACATTCCCATCAGCAATGTATGAGAGTTCCAATTTCTTCATATCCTCACCAACATTTGTAAATGTCTGTTGTTTGGATTATAGCCCTTTAAGTGGGTTGGAAGTGGTAACTCAATATGGTATTGATTTGCATTTCTTTGATGGCTTTTGAGGTCAAACATTTTTCCATGTGCATGTTGAACATTTGCATATTTTCTTTGGAGAAATGACTATTCAAGTCCTTTGTCCATTTTATAATTGGGTTATGTATCTTTTTATTATTGAGTTGTAGATATTCTTTATATATTCACAGACACCATGGTTGGGAAGTTGCTGGTTCAAGGCTACTGTGGAGCTGGGGAGAGTTGAAGAGTAATAGGGCAGTTAAAATGCCACGAAGCTGGTTGTTCTTTCTGAGATTCAGTGTTTTTTCTTGAATAAATACTCATTGGTTTTTGCAAGTCTGTGGTTAATTTGCAGAGCACTTAAAAGGTTGATTTGACAATTTCTTGCCAGTGTTTTGTTGTTTTTATGAAGGGGCAGATATTTTGGACTTCTTTATCATTTCAGAAGTCCTGCCTATGACTCATTATGTATTGTTTCTTTTTCTTTTTTAAAACTTTTGTGGTTTGGAAGTTATACAAACTTCTGAGTAATATTGATGTACTGAAACTTGATGGCTTTAAACAAAAACCATTTCATTATGCTCATCGATACTGTGGGTGAAAAATTACCGCAGAGCATAGTGGGAATGGGTAAACTTTTTTCTTCTATATCTGGGACCTCATCTGGAAAGACAGGAAGACTAGGAGTGAATTCTCATTGGCTAGCTTAGCCTTCTTATTCTTCTTTGTGGAGTTCAATTTTCTTTAACATAGTGTAAATGTTACTCCTTGGGATTTTGGACTTTTTTCTTTCTCAATCTGTAGTCTTCCTTTGGGTGATTTAATCTCATTGCTTCAGTTAACCGCTTCTCAAACCTATATTTGAAACACACTTTTCTTTCCTGAGCTTTACACATGTATTTGGCAGAAAAGTCTAAACTTAGCATGTCATAAATATTCCTTTCCAAATCTACATCTCTTACTATATTTTCTAATGAATGATTGCTTCATTAGCAATGATTGGTCAGCAATTTCTCTAAGTAAGAAAACTGGGATTATTCTTCCCTCTCAAACCCCAAATTCGCTGAACTTCTTTCCTTTCCTCTAAATCAGAATTCTGATCTAAATTTGTACATTGTCTAGATTTTTGCTATAGCTATAGGTAAAAAATACATGCGGTAAAGAATTTAAATTCTGAATGCCAAGCATTTACTGGTGGAAAGCTTTATAATTCATAAGAAAGTTTATGTTAACATTAGTTCAATATTACGATAGAATTAATGTGGAAAACTGGAAACACAATGGGTTTATTGAAGACAGGGTCGAGGACAGAGCATTACATACTGAGTTATAAGGTGAAGGAGTTAAATAAAATTCTTAAGGACCAGGAGAGAAGACCCTTGGATTGGCTACCTATGTTTAGAATTGATTATGATAAATAGTTAGCTCTGGATAGTAGAATTAGAAATGGCTTTCTTTTTATCTTTGGAAATTTCTGTGTTCTTCTAAATTTTCTTGTTATTTTATAATAAGAAAAATATATACCTTTAAAATGTTTTTAACTTGCTTTTATTCTTATCATATTTTACTCCCTGTTGAGTTTTGTTTGATTGCTTTTTCTCACAATTATATTATCAATACTGTCCCATTATGTGATTAAGATGTATATGACTGTGTCCAAGACCCAAGCACGTTTTTGCTGAAACTATGGAAAGGTAGAATAAACCGTGATTGAGAGCTGATACTTAAAATGTCATATGACAGCCAGCCCTGATGGTCTAATGGTTAAAGTTTGGCACTCACTGTTTCTGCGGCAGGGGTTCACTTCTCAGTTGCCTAAGCATACCACCTGCCTGTCAGTTGCCACACTGTGGTGGTGGCTCACATAGAACCAGAATGACCTGCAACTAGAATATACAACTATGTACCTGGGCTTTGAGGGGGAAACAAAAAAAAAGAGAGGAAGGTTAGCAACAAATGTTATCTCAGGGTGAATCTTGGCCTAAAAAAAAAAAAAAAGGACACTTAAAAAATGATATGAAAATAACTAGGCTACTGCAGAGGGCATAAAAATAGGATGGGGTAAAGGGAAGTGTTCAGGAAGGAGGGTGTTCGTTATACGATGAAGGGAAACTGCCAATTTAATGAAAAGGCTACCACTCTTCTTTGTTTCTCTTGTACTAATTCAACATTGAACTCACTAGTTGCCACGATATAATTGTGTAATCCAGAAGGCCAGAGGACATCCACATGAAATAGATTTATATAAAGTAGAAAGTTCTTTTTTATTAATAATATTGTTACAATGTAGTGCTATGCAGGATAATTATAATTTACATCTGTATAAGCTGTAGTACTGATGCCTTTAGGGGTTGGCTTTCGGTATTCCCGTACAACGCAGCAGGGCTCAATATTGCAGAAATTATATATGTATTCCCAGGTGTTGCACGAAGTCTTACAAGCACCACGGACAAGGTAACATTCTCTTTTTCTCTCTGCAATTTCTCTTGTTTGTTTCTGTGAAACTAGGAAAAAGTAGCTATGATCATGTAGCCAGGTTTAATCCCCTTGCATAGCTAGCTAGCTAGATAACTAAAGTTGTTTATAGAGTTAAATCATTTTGTTTCTGAAATTATGCCCAGGCAACCGTATTGAAGAGTTTAGATCTTATCTCCTGTAAATCAGTACACTATACATGTGTATCCAACAATATTTCCTTTGCCACTAGCTTTATTATTATTTTTTTGTAGATAGAATATCCTTAAATATCTAATCTGTGCATGCTTCCTCAAGAGTAAAGAGAAAAGGATATGGAAAAAATAGTCTACATGTTTTGTGCTCTAAATAGCCATTCACCTCCAACAACCCGTCCCCCATCCCCCGACAATTACTGAGCCAGTTGTAGAAAGCTTAATTTTGACAACCACCACAATAGTAGTTCATTAAATTGAATTTAAAAAGAGAAGGCAGTAGAAGCATGTAAGGAGTCATAGAGTCATCAAACAAAACAACAAAATAAACAGGTTAATTCTGCATCTTGGGATTTTTTTCCCCATTATCTTTTCAACTATTGATTCTACTCATTTCTTCTGCCGTGCAATATTATTAGAGTGAGTTGCATTATGAGTTCATATGGAGTCTCCTAACAATAATTTATTTGTTTTATTTTTCCAGAATAAAGCCTTTATGAAAAAAAATTTTGCCCTTCCCTCCTTTTCCATGTTAACAGATATTACCTGATGGACCACAGGACACAGTGAAGACAAAGGTCAGGAAAATACAAAGTATCTTCATTGCTGATATAGTTATTTGGGTAAGGTTGAAGCAGAGCTCAAAATGTCTGAGAGTTGTGCTATTCTTTCATAAAAGAAAGATGAACTCTTCTTTTTATAGCCTTCTCAAGGTGATTACTATTCTGATTAATGCCGCCTTTCAAGATTGAGTGCATATTCATGTAAGTATTGTGAAATAGCAACAAGCAGAAGAGGGGACTTCGTTCTGTTATGACCTCAGTGAGCCAAATGTGAACTCATTTTCAGTTACACAAGCAAATAATGGGGTTAAAGTCTTCTTTAATTGCTTAATTGAAAGCATATAATCATATCATTGATATTTTCAGCAGTATGCTTTTTCGAGCCTTTGTTATGTGCAAGGCAGTGTTCTAAACCCTTTACATGGACTAACTAGTTTAATCTTCATGACAAATTCTATGACATAAAAACTTGTTATTTTTCAATTAAGGAAACTGTGGCACAAAGGGATTGTGTAATTGCCTCAAATCATACGTGCAGTGATTGGTAGAGCTGAGATGGACTCTGAGGTGATGTGATGTCAGAGTCCATACTTCACAGCCTCCACCTTCTTCGCTCTCATAACTGAGTAGGGGTGTTCATCATGCGAAGTCACTCTCTTTACACATGGCCTGAGCCAGACACTGTTTCTGGAATTTAATTTTTCTACAAACAGAAAATATACAGTTCAAGTACTATTACATTAAAAATTATCTTAGCTATGCTACAACAATAATCAGTATAATTCTTTACATATCATGTAATGACTCGGTCATAAGATTATCTCATTCATAGAAGAAAGCAGTGTGTTAAAAGTTGAAAGAGCACTGGATTTAGATACAGAAAACTAATATTGAGATCGGATTCCTCTGTTTACCAGCTGTACATTTGGGATAAATATTCACTAACTGAGCCTCAAGATTCTCTCCTTGAGGACTGGATTGGTAGAACCGCCATACTTAGAGGTTTATGTTAAGAATTAAATAGATAACATATGTGAAAAATGATTTATTAGTGATTGACACATAAATATAAACAATTTGGCTGGATATGAAAATCCAAAAAGAAGTATCCTTGCAACTCAATGATTTATGTTCTAACTCCCTCTGTCATTGCGGAAAAACAAATTATAAGAGTATTCTATAATCTGAGTTTTAAAAGCAGTAATCTAATCTTCTTGTTACTTCTGTGCTTCATTTCTTATCCGGAAAGTACCTATATATTTATAGCCAAACCATGGAAAATCTATTGTCTCAATATCCTCTTTCTAAAAGCATCAAACAGAACCCTTTAAACTGCTGGAGATTTAATAAGACCTATTGTATGTAAGCAGAGCAAAATAGCGTGTATGAAAAATAGATTAGAAAATTAAAAATCCAGGCATTATCATAGTAATGATATGGATGGATGAGAAGATGACCTAGGCAAAGGTGGCCCGTTTGTTTGCTTCAGTATAGTGGTATCTATTTTATCTGTTGAAAACCGGCCACTCCTATCAAGTTGGAACATCAGCTAAACTCATAAATTGCATGGTCTTTTCCCTCCTTGCTCAAATGTGAAGTTGGGAAGTTGGGACTAGTGACATCTCAATCACACAGAACAAAGATAAAGATTCAAGTGACTATCATTTCAATTCTTCCAAGGAAATGACATAAGTAGAAACAAACTGGATGCATAGGAGAGAAGTTAATTTATTGATTTATTGCTTAAAATGTATAACTTACATCTTAATTTGGGAGAGATCCAGATTCTAGATTTCTGTTAATAAAACCTTTTCTTTAGGGGGACAGGTATAGGCCTTATTATGAAACATTTCAATCACATTGCTTCTTTCCAGTTGCAGTCCCTCACTCTTTTACCCAGAATCACAGTTGATTTTTTCTTACTTTCCTGATCTCTGCCACTAACATGTCATCTTATTAGAGAAGATTTTGAAGCCCTTTTTGGCGACTATTCTAATAATAATAGTGACCCTTGCTTCATCCAAATTTTTTTGGTGTTACTCATTTGTCTGTATTTGAAATTAATTTGGCCCATTATTGGCTTGTTTGTTTTATTATTTATTCATATAATTTGGTATAATTATTGTTACTATTACTACTATTGTTATTGTTATTAACTGCCACATCTCACTAAAATGTAAACTCCATGAGGGCAGGGATGTTGACAGTTTTACAATGAAGCCTAGGACAGAATAGATATTTAATACATACTTACTGAGTGAAGAGTAAAGCAAAATTATAGTAGCAATTGTAGTATCCATCACTTATCTATCTAGAAAACTTTAGAAAGTGACACTTCTGAGAAAGTGAACGGCAGATACGTAATTCAGTACCTAATCCTAAGGGCTCAGAGAGCAGTTCATGCATTTCTTTCTCTTTTTGGGGTATGGAAGATGATTGGGGGAACAAAAGCTCTGTCTTCCTAAGCTTCAATTGGTAATTATGATTTACAGCTCCAACTGTGGCTTGTATAAAAGACAATGATGACGGAAATGTCCTGAAAAAGCATATAGACTATACACACAGATATTCTTTGCAACTCCACTTTACATTTTTATATTTTATGTTTAGCAAAAGGCTTGGTTCCTACTCAATGCCCAACATAATAGTGAATATTTATTGAACACTTACTAAATATCAATTACTTCCTGAACACTTTACATTAATTATCTCAATTAAACATAACAACAATCTTATGAAATAGATATTAGTCTTACTGGCATCATTGCACAGTGAGGTAGATGAGGCTTAGAGGCATTTAACACCTTGTTCAAAGTTGCTGTGCCAGTAATTACCATGGCTGACATTAGAGACCAAAGTAGTCAGACTCTTGAACCCATGTTCTTATCCACTACACTGAAATCAATGAATTTGTGAGTGAACAAATTTCTGAAAGGCAATAATGAGTTTCTCTGATTTTTTATATCTGTTTAAAACATAGCACTAAGATTGTTTAAGCTTTAGTAAATGGCAGATGATTGACTGACTCTAAAAGGAAAGGGCGAATTCACGCTTAGAAACAGCAGAAGGATTAGCTGAATCAGTGGTTATTGGAACTTCATAATTTTTAGAATCAATTGGGATGACTAAACACATACACACTCCTGGGCAGCACCCCGGCATGTTCTTCTTCTGGCCTTACCCTGAATATTGTCCTTTCATTATTTAAGAATGTGGTTCAGAAAATTGCACTTTTAAATATACCCCCAAATCTTTCTGATGTTTACCCCTGTCTGATACCACCAATTTAGTCACATTCTGTGCTTTTGTCAGGTGTGAACTCATCTATGACATTTCATCCATTTGTACAATCAGGCTCATCTCTTGCATTGCTCTGATTAAGTGATGCCTGGAATGCAGAATAAAGCATATTTTTCTCGTCAGAAAGCCCAGGAGAACATGAATGCCCCTGGATGAATATATGCAAGCCCTCTAGTAAAGCAGTGTAGCAGTGTGGACAGACTGACCTGTATAAATACGACTTTACTACTTTCTGGCCATGCGAGCCTTGGGCTAAGCGTGTTTCTGTTCTGAGTCTCAGCTTTCTTAGGGGGACGAGGAATAAAATTAGTCACCTTGCATAGATGATGTAAAGATTAAATAATGCAAGATGGCTACTTAATCTGACCTAAACTAATCTTTCAAGTCAGGAGATGGCCTATGGAGGAGAAAATATTATCTATATTTATATTTATATATACATTTATTAAAGGTATATTTGTGTGTGAGTATATATATACATGGAGAGAGAGAGAGAGAGACATACTGTATTTAAAGATAGAAAGAAAAACGAGTAGGAATAAAACAATTGAAAAAATTAAATATGAGAATATTCATATTTTCCTCAGTCCTTATAGAAATATGTCCCTCAATGGTGTTACAGGCAAAACCCAATTTTTCTTCCCTTTTCTACCATGCAAGGGCCCTACTGCAAAGCCTCTATTTTGTAAGAAATTACCATAATCAAATACATCTGGGAAAATAGCTTCTAATATAAGGTCACACAAGTAAGAATTTATTTTAGAAGCTGAAATCAAACTAAAGAATATAGAGAGCTGTCAACTGCGTGCTCACATCCCTTTGAAAGTGGTCCACAGACTCTGAGAAATGAAGAAGCAAGATGTATAAAGTATTTCCAAAGTCCATTCAATACAGTTCCCTAGTTCTGAGCATCCCTACCCTTGACAAATCACCTCCGTCTGGTACCCCTTGACAAATCACCCCCATCGAGTACCCTTTGACCAGACTGACTGATTTTAGGACATAGAATTAGCCTATTGTTTGACATTAGAAAAATCTGGAATTGAATCACAGGCTTGCTTTTACTATCTAGGTGATCTTTTTGAGGTCCAGTTTCCTTATCTATAAAAATGGTGATTTTAACATCAAATTTATTGGGTTGTACTGCATATTAAATGAAATAATGCAAGAAGTTGACAAAGAAGGCACTCAGCAATAACTTTAAAAATTACTGAGTTCTTACTATTTGTTGGCACAACTCAAGATAGTAAGCAAGGTGAGCATGGTCACAGCCATGCCTGGAGCTTAAGTTTCATATATGAATTGCTGTTCATAAAATTCAGTAGAGTGCTGGAAGAGAGTGACTATCAAGCGAGGATTGTAATAAGTGATCAAGGATGACTTCATCGTCTTGAGAGGGGGATGGCCAACAAAGGGTGTCTAGTGCAGAGGGACAAAGTTTGGTATTCCTGAGAGCATCGTGTGTGTGAGGAACAAAAAGCAGGCCAGTGAGCTGACTGTCAGTGAACAATTAGGCAAGTGGTGAGGGGAGGACAGGGAACAGCAAGGCTCCTTCTTACCGGGCTTTTTCGGCCATGGTGAAATGGTGGATTTTATATATTTGATGAAAGCCATTTTAAGAGTTTATGAATCCACTCTGGTTCTTGGTGAGAGAAGTGTTTGGAAGGGTGTGCAGGCAGAGTCAGGGAGGGAGGTCATTTTGGAGAAGACTGCCAGTGGTCTGTGAGGGAAAATATGGTGG